CGTCGCATCCACCGAATCTTTGAGATGTTCTCATAGTCCTCCGCATCTACACTATTCGACTTGCCGTTCAGTAAGCGCATCTTTTCTTGCGTTTTGGCGAAATCTCGACACTCCAAATAGAAGAGTTTCGACGCCACAAATCCGAGACACTAAAGAATCCAGACTTCGCCCGAGCGTGGTATGACAACAACTGGCCCCACCTGAGCTCCCCTCACTGCCCACCACTGCTTTATAGCGTCTTTATACGAATGACAACTCGCCCGATCCTCCTGATAATAACAGTCCCACCTGAGGGTCGATAACGTGCATGGCAGAAGGCAATGGCCATCTCAGCTCACAGACATATAGTGGTACTCAGCCCGACCCCGATCGTGCCAAGCTTCAGTGCACTCATTTGCTACTACGGAGGAGGAGACCTACTGCAACACTGTACGAACAATACATCGTGAGGATCGATTCAGACCGATTACGGGAACTCCCCTGACCGACCCACGCGGTGATCACTCAACTAAAATCGTCATCGGCTTATTGTTACTATCACTACACAAGTTGTTTATCACACTGGTAGTTCACATTAATTAAATATAGTCCACCTCTGCTGGAGGTTCATCTTCAGTGCGTTTCGACTTGCCAACTTCTCCCCGCTCCAACACTGCGTTGCCTCCTCCTAGTGAGATCTCACGAGTCACCAGCTGCATGCATAGATATCTGACAAAACCCAGGACATATACCGGAGCCTTACTCAGCTAGCAGCACCGTTACAGTCGCAGCCGCGATGTGCCATAGCCACCATGACACTGAGGCAAGCCAAACGCAAGGACATGACGATGTATGTAGTTCTACACCGAGCCGGCAGACGGCCCATCTCTACCCACGTCGAGGCCAAATGCCACACGTGGTATGTTCCTACGAAGTCGAGGCATTTCTTCGCACGCTCCACAATATTGCTCAGTACAAGCGACCTAGGTATGCCCATAGCACATCGCTGCCGTTAGAAAGGAGCTAACACCAATAGATCATGAAAACCAAAACTGCGGTCACGATCGAACTCTCTGTATCGGCGGACCCGACGTCGTCATCTGACAAGTACGGTCCTGTTCAACAGCAGGTACGCCAGGGGCACTACTAAAGCCACAGGCACACCGCAGAGTTGGTTGAGAGTACACACACCCGCAACCAGGAGTAAATAGTAGCAGCCCTAAAGCTCAAATCAGCAAGAAAAGAAGACTGGTCCTCACCTGCAGGGCCAATATCTGCATACAGATGAACTTCGGATTGAAAACTTCTCCGCCGAAGAACCTTCCACCTCTCACCATAGAGACCAATCACATGCTACCTGCCGTGAGGAGTTCCCCCCATGCCAACACAAGGACAAAGGTGGCGATCACGACAAAGGTATTTTTTCGGCTTGAAGTATACTAAATGTGTCTAAGTCTAACATACTCTACAAATTAGCACTAGTCGTCAAAAAGCGTCAATGGTAGTAGACCTGATACTACAACAGTACCAGTCATCTGAGTCACTATATAGATCCTGGGTTCAATTCCCGGGACGGGTGTTATGGGCAATAGGAACAACAAAATGATCCGCATGAATTAAAATGAGTCAACTCTAAGGCTACCCACAGAGCACGATCGAACCGTCATTGAGGAAACTGCAGAAAACCTAACTGACGCGGGACCTCATGAGCCCAGCTTCTTGCGGGCCAACTCCGTCCCATCGAACCCTCGGGTAGTCTGACTAAGGTCAATGCGACTGCTCAATCTGTCGTACCTGAGAGCTCCCCAGTCACCGCAGTGAAGGAAGGGAAGAGGCAAACCTCTCACCCGAGTTTAGCCCAAAACTTCGTCACTGACTCGTCTAGCATCTCAACGTAAACAGATCGACACTCCCGGTGCTCCCTCAACCATACGCACAGCATGTGGTCGAGGAGGCGACCAAAGCCCTGTCCTCGACATGAGAACGTAGTACGACCTAAGAGCTCAGCTCTACTCTAACAAAACAGCGTCAACTGACCGTACTTCTCTTAAATTTGAGTTCGTCCGCAGTGGCGAAGAGCAAAATCATTGCATCTCTAGTGACCGAGTCATAACGGTAGAGACAGGAAGCAAGGACGACCGGTCGTGTCTTGCTCGCCTCCTCCTTCTCCTCCTCAAACACCTACACCAACCATACCGTACCGAATGATGTACCCTCCCCCCCTACGCATAAAGTAGCGCCATGCATGCTGCTCCCAGGGAAAAAGCTGCGCTCAAAAAGTATCTTCATCTCACACGAGGGGAAGTCCTTCATAAACAATCCATAACCAAGGCACCTCCTGTAATCCACGACAACTTCATGGACCTACCAAGCAGAGGAAATCCCACTCACCAACGACCGCTTGTCACCCACCAAGTAGAGTTGCCTAGAGGCAGTATTCCCCTCCTCTGGGCCCGCAGTACCGATGAGCCTTCGACTGCGTCTGGTTGGCGCTTCACAGCTCCTCAGTTTCATTACCCCCATCGTGGGGCAGATCTGAAATGACTTTGGCAATAACAAGATGTAACTTCCTGAACTCTACTGATGCCTCGAGTGGAACACTAAATCAACTAAATAATCCAGACGGGATTTGAACCCACAACCTTCAGCTCCACAAAACGACACGCTTCCATTACGCTACAACACCGCTTAGCAATTAAATACACCCATCCTAATGACAACAATTACTGAGGCGATTAATGTAGCCCCCCCAAATAAAAAAATCTCAAGAGCGCCAACTACAACAACCTTAGGAAGCGCGCACAGCTGACTCAGGCCTGTTCAGTAAGCCCGACTGGCTGCGATACAATATGTATCCCGAATCACCTCAACGATGCGCCCCTCAATGGGTTCACAGGCAGTAGACCGCTTGGACCTCCGTATCACCAGACTAGGAGCGACTAGTCTGTCAGTGCTTGATGCTGCCTCAAGCGGACCAGATGGAGACACTTTACGCGCCTTCCTCACTTTACGAGGAAGGGCTTTTTTCGACCCATCCAGCTTGCGTTTCGGAGACTTCTTGCGCGCCCGAACATTCCCGACACATTTACGAGAAGTGACGACAGCTTTCTTGGTTGTAGTTTTGCCTCCTCTCGCAGCCAGGCTGAGCAGCCTAGGACTACAGCGGGTAGCACACAAACTACCCTGGGATGGCATGAGCAGAAAAAGGATGAAACAAGCAGCTATCGAGCACCAACGTACGCACCCAAAATCGATCAGAGTAAACAACTACGACGATCAGTGGAAACTATCGGAGGAATAGTTATCAACGTAATAGGGAGGACATGTAATACACACAGCTCAGAACCGAGGGTAAGAGGTCAGTGAGAGTAATGACCGCATGGGAATCACTTTGAGTCATGCTCGACATCACGGCCCTGAGCACGACGTCGGTCAGCAGCGAAGGCACACAGAACGACCCCCGGGAAGGATCTCCTCCTGGGTCCAACTGCGTGCCTTCACTGCTGTCTGAAGTGCCATGACCAACCGGATGAAACCACCATCAGAGTTGATGCTCATCTCTACTACCCTTCCTTCGTGTAGATGGTCCCGCCTCCTCAGGCCTCTATTCCTGCTCACTCTCCCAGCATTCCGCACTGCCGAATCACCCTCAACCTTTCCCATCAGCAGTACCCATCAGGCCTTGCGGCACCGTGGCGTTGGAACCTACACGGAATACCACCAAAGTTGTCTCATACAGTATAAAATGTCTAGTAATCATTTGTATATGGTTTGAATATATTATAAATATGTATATGTAGCCACAATGTGTATATCATAACACTATGATAGAGGTTAACGTAATATTTATATATCCGTCTTCAATCAGAAAGGAAGCACCGAACGCCTCAGTAACCGTCAGCTTGCGAATAAGCTTATATAGTGAGCCAACGAAGATGGCCAATTCGACGGATTAAACAGCATACCACACTGTCGACAATATACGTGACACTATATATTGTCACCCTTTACTACCAGCATATAGTACAAGGAAGTGCTTCTTGGCCTTCCAAGAATGAGGGAAGTCAACCACAAGGTCGCCGCCGCTGCCAAAGCCCGAGCGCATAGCAGCACTTGTGAACATCTCAACCTGACCATGAGCCCTCTATGAGCTCTGGTCGACCTACTAGACCCTTCTACTTGTTCCTCGCTTTTCGGATAAAACTGTAGTACTGCCCTCCAGCCCTTCTTCAGTCAATTGAACAAGACCTGGGAAAAGTTCCTGTAGTCGCCGATACGGCTCGTGAGTTACCAGCTTCATCGAACCCATCAGGAACGTAGATCAGAGTTATACAGTCATTGTAGAGCCCATGTCTCCCTGGAGGAATTCTCCACTTCCATCGACCTAAACACAACTGTTGGACAAACGCTTTCCTTCCATAACTCCCACCTTTAGAAATACTCTTTTTCACGATAACATTGAGAACCCAGTAACCTAACAGAGCCACGTTTGGCATAGCTGATGATGTACCCATATCAACGAAGAAATGTCAGTGTTCGCTGAGGACGCCCTCTGAGATTCCTGAACATACTCCGACATCAAGAACCTGTACATTCATACAACACCCGGAATACCGACTCGAGAGCACTAAGTCGATGTGCGCTCACCAAGCTGGGTTGGTCATCACTCAACATCATCAACTCGTCATCTTACTCTGGACGTCGATTATACAACTGTTCGCGGCGTATCTGAGCAAACGACCATTCAGACAGCGATCGACATATGTGTTGCAATCAGGTCGCGGGTCGAACAAACAATGATGAGGGTAATGTTGAAGCATCGCACTACTTCTCGGCCGTTCTTTCATCATAGAAGAATTCAGGCGGGGCTATGTGCTCCGGCAAAGTTGCCATATGCAGATGGGAGAAGAAACCAATGCAACTAGACCCATCAATTCCGAGTCCAAGGAAAAGTCAACCCCGTTCGAATCAACCTGAGATTATTGTGCGGAAGCGCTCGCGCAAATTTGAGAAGAAACTTTTACAAGTGTAATAGCAGGCAACGCACTGATCTGCTAAACATGCAGAAAAGGAACATCTCATTCTTTGGTTGCGACATGAAGATGATAACTGATTTGCTTGTCGCAAACCATCGGGCGAGCGCTCATTTCTACGGTCGTTCAGTGCAAGTGTATGACACCCGAAGAGCGAGCATGACAAAAAGCAATTAGATTACATTGTCCCTCCACTGTATGCTTGCGTTGATGCCTTCAGCCACGCTTCGTAATTACAAGGCCGAGATTCACACACAAGCGATTACAGCACACAATCTGTTTTATAGCCGGGATAGTCTAGTGGTTATGACGTCTGCCTTACACGCAGAAGGTCGCGGGTTCAATCCCCGCTCCTGGTATTTGCGATGATTGATTGGTTTATTACCCATTGTCCCGCTTTGTCCCGTTAACAGTGAATCTGAAGTTGAACTATACTGATTTACCTCCGGTGAGCCACCACGACTGAACACAAGTCATTCCTCGGCAGTACGAGGCAGTAACCAGTACATCAAAAGTTCTTTCGAGGACGGAAACGAGTGATCAACATGGGACGCGTCAATGTACTGTAACTCAAGTTCAGGTTCGACATATCGAAGGACACATCAGGAAGAGAGGCTCAGTGCTCATTGTGTGACTAATTTCGGATCGACCTTCACCGGCCCACGATCTCCACCTATACTGGAGAGGCCCCCAAAGCCACGGAATGGGTCAATGCTTCAGATTCTCGAGAGGATTGACTCATATCACTGGATCTCCTGCGAGATGGGGTCGGAGAGAATCTACGAGCTATCGCTCTAAACGGCACGAGAGATGTCGAACGTGGGATAGGAGACACCCAACAGGAAAAAAGCAAATATATAATCCATATGAATCTCTCAGGGATCACCCCTTAGTACTATTCTCGCGTTCTTACTAATATAGACATACTCTATCCGAACTAAACCGTCTGACTATGCGCAGTACACCGACAACATTGACAACTCAACTACACAAACACTGAACCAACCTAGCTTGAGTGGTAAATGTTTCCGTAGAAAGACGTTAACGTGATTTGCTCCTATCCCTTCATTCAAGGCCTCCGTCTAGCCCCACCTGAAGCCAATACCTATCACATACCCCACTATCCTCTTATATTACCTTGATTCAGCATTATCGGGCGTAACGGTGCCGTCAACTTCCCTCGAAGCTTCTCCATGCCTCCCGACACCTTGATGCCACAGAAGCACAGAGTCTAACAACAACAACCCGTATATATCATCGACAGTGACAGTGAATGACCTGAAAGAGCTCCTTGTCCTTCATAGTGGGGACGTCCTCGCAAAGGTGACAGAACCTAACGAGTGTCACCATCACCACGATTACCATAAACGTACTCTACTCACTCGAACGACCAAGCCGGAGCCTGTGCTAGTGCCAGTATCGAGATAATCAGGTAGCAGCAGAGCTTGTAGTTGCTGGTCACTAAGCAGTAGAGGGATGATTAATATCAATCAGCAGAGGCGATGTACTACCAGACATTCTCTTCACGCTCGGGTTCTCACCGTTGAAGATGTACCACAGGGAGTTTGCGAGCTAGAAGGAATGAAGTTACATTCAACCTCCGGATTGCATATCTCCAGAGATAGTCCTCATCGACCCCAAGCAACCACTTACCGGGACGGGAACTCCCCAAGTGTTGGTCTCATCGAATGAGAGACGATTCTCTCGACGTAACTGAAGGGATGAAACTTTCAAGTTGCCTTGACAACACCAACAAATACACTAACAATAATAACAGCAACAAGAAAAATAATAATAATGAGAACAATCACCTAGACCCTACCCGACATTTCTAGAATAACAGATTACCAATACTCACCTGGAAGAGGCGAAGGAGACCGATAACGATGACAAGACGCGAGGCGAAGTCGTGGACCTTGTATTTGCGGTTGGCTACAGGGCAAGTCGTAAACCTAAAACACATAGTATCAGAAGATACCACGAGCACCTGACTCACTGTCGGCCAAGGTCAAGGATGATACGGGAAGAGAACACAGGGTCCATATTCGGCTTCGTACACTTATGACCAACTCGAGCTCTAACAAGAGTATCCCAGTAAGCTCTCGGGGGCGAATAAGGGGCAGCACAGTACTACCCCTGCTTCAACCACTCGCATAACTCCCACGCCAAGTCGCTCTTCTGCACATCCGCCTTGCTAAGCTGAGAACAAACAAGGCTTCATTTCACAGGAGCACAGAAAGAGGGAACAGCTATCATCACATACCAGTTCCTTCGTGAATAGCTCCCGACTGAGATCGAAGATCTTCTCAACCTTGGATACATGCGCATCGAAAGTGGGCAAGAACTCCTTCATTTGTCTATACACACCTAAACAAGCACACGGTGAACAGCACAGCACAGCCTCTACTACTACTACTACTACTACTACTACTACTACTACTACTACTCCTACTACTACTAATACTACTACTACTAATACTACTCTTAGGAACGCCTTCCGGAATGTCCTTCTTGGCCTTCTTAGCAGGCGATGCCTCTGACTTGAGCTCATATCTGATATCCTCATCTTGAGGGGATTCTGAGAATTCCGAAAGCCTCTTCTGCAAGGTGCGCTTAGCTTGACCGAAGTTCTCGATACGATCATCAGTCACTCGGTTGGCCAAGAAACCTACAATGACATCACATACACCGTTTCCCACAAGAACAACGGCCCAAGTTGTCGAAGTATGCGATAACGCACGCTCTTAGCGAGCTAAAATGATCGCCCTCCTATTACTATTGAGCTGACGCTTCTTTTTAACAGGTGCAAACGATGTGATGAGATCTCCACGCTTGTCCGCCCAGTTAGCTGAGGACAACAACAATCACACTGAACGCCATAGAAGGCCAACAGTCCTCGGTGAAACGAGCCATCCCTAGTACAAGTAGTGGCGGTGCTAGATTTGGCCTTCTCCAACGCTCCAATAACTCCCTCGTGCTTGATGTTAGTCGACACATCGAATGCACAAGCCGGGAAGATGTACCTGAATGCATAATTATCACGCACAGCTACGACCAAGAGCACGGAACACTTGCACTGAGTATAGGAATGCCCCCACACCAGCTACATTTTCCCATCATGGCCCTTCCTCTTAACCCCAACTGCGAGCTTAGTAGGCCCTCGGGGTTGGGGCTCTCCCACCAACTCGACGTTGTGATTCTCCTTATACCCACCGGCCAAGCGCACTCTGAATAACGTTGATGAGGACCAACGAGAATCGTTCGTGGATACTACCGCTCCTTTCCTCTGCGTTTCCTTGACTCAACATTCATATAAAGACCAGCAAGGATCGAGTCATCAGGTCTCTGGCCCAAGCACTGAGGATATACAATCAAAATAGTGTTACGCTAAACCTCGTGCACAGTTCCACTTCTATTACCGCGATGGGGACGGCCTCCCCTGCAGAGGTCGTGGGTACGACAGCCGTCACTGACGACGACATTTCGATAAGACGGTTCGAAGGAACTGCAGAACAACAAAGTCCAAGACTGTGCTCACATGGTGGAGTTCCTCAGTCAACTATTACGCCCGCCTTAGACTGTCAAAAACTCCAACGTACTAGTCTAAGAATATTCAGCAGAATAACCATCAAGTCGAGCGTATCGTGGAATACCAAGTGCCGTTACAAGACTGCAACGCCTCAATCGCCTCCTCTGTGGAGGCCTCTGCCCGAATGAAGCGTGAATCAAACACGCAGCTGGGGACTAGAGTGAGGGTTACCACTGATCACTCGTTTTTATATCATCCAAGCTTGTCAACAAGCGTATAGGCTTTGCAGTTCCAAATTAAATCCTGTATATTCAAGTCTACTCGCCAGTGGCGAGTCACCACATATGCAGATCGATCAGTGTGGCGAGCGCAATTAGAAATGCAGATAAAGCTCCACTTCCTTTTTTGATCACTTGGAATTCCTTAACCGCGGGAATGTGCTCGATACCTCAAACATCAATTCCAGCATACCCGATCTCCATTGTTTGAACGCAATGGTTGTAATAGTGGTATCGTAGAAGCTCACAACAAGCATCTGTTTGTAAGCAGTTAATAAGCCATAGCCACCCCATCGTCAGAGACTTTCAGCAGGGCTTTTCATACACCGTGTGTAACTCGCGGACAGAACACAGAGCAGGTGACGAGAAGAAACTCAACGTTTACGTATTTGCTAAGTGACGCGCATCAGAGAGACATATCCAGTTGGTGACACGACAACTCAATGACTCAGGGAGCCCTTCTCGATCTTCGCATGTCACCACCTGAGAGATGCATTCCTCATTGCTTGACATCATCGACTGCTGGCCAAGGCGATAGAGAGCACTCACAAAGCACTCACCGTCCAAACATCCCCCTTGTGCACATCAAGCAGAGCAGTCCATTGCGAGAGGATCTCCCCCATCACTCTTCCAGCGCTTGTCACCCACAAATCGCAATCATCGAACATCGCGACCGCCGGAACAGTCGGAGAGAACCGCGAACAAGAGGCTAGTTCGCTATAAATCTGAAAGATACTCGCAGTAAAATCAGTAGACATGAATGTGGATGCAATGGAGTAACATAATCATAAACTGTCCCCAAGAAACAGCCCGTAACTCCCAGACAATAAGGAATGGTCACGAGTATCATCTATTCCTCTTGATATAGTATCCGCTATGAGAGTGGCTATCAATTTCAAAGGGAAACTGTCCTTGTTGGAAGAGAAATCAAAAATGCCGTGATTTGCCCAAGAAGGTGGCACGCTCCTTCAGAGGCGTTCAGAATGCCTCTATCCTCGAGTTGCTTAATGTCTATTGTCAGAGACAGTCTCAGCTAGTTTAGAATGCCGCAGACTGCTACTGCTATCATCGTTTCACTTCCCCTCCTAATGCAATGTTCACCTTGCGTAGTCGCCTTTGAGATTCACCCAGTTCTGCAGCCACAACGTCCGCGATGCGTACCTGAAACGACCATATCAACACGCGACTGAACGCACAGGTAACTTTGATGGACCTAAAGTACGTGTACCAGAATAACATGGAATTACTTCAACAGCCTTTCCAGAGGACACGAACGCTCTCAGCCTCCGCAACTCGTCCGTCTTCCCACTGCCACTAGGGCCACTGACACATATCTGATCGACAACTATCAAAATGAACAATTACGAGGTGCTCTCATCCTACCAGACCGCCTCGGGTATGGGACAAGCTACGACTAGCTTGATGATGAGCAAGTAACTCCACCAATGGTCCGGAAGGATTTACCGGCAGCTCACTGGTAGAACCAGAGAGATCGCGGACCTAGAGGCATCAGATATGATAACCACAGGAGCGCTTGCAGCAACAGGACTCGTAAACAACAAACTGCATCAAGCTGAAGTAACATCCTACCTCTCCAACAGTCAGACGCATGACTCCGCAGAACTCTCCGAACATGTCCGTGGTAGCTCCAGAAGGCACCAACAGGACGATTCTCACTCCTATAGGAACACTCCTAGCGAGCCACAAAACTAGGCCGAGCGTTGAGTCCAGTGATTTACGAGCCTGAACAAGTACATCACATTTAGCCAAACATCAGGATGGACGAGATGGGTAACCCACCACCGATTGTTCTTCCCCCCAATCTTCATCATCTCCATCCACATCAGCGTCACCCCCCGAGGCCACAGCAGCAGCATCATCATCTACAGTTCGCATACATGCCATCGGGTCTCGAATCACGATGACTCGCTTCGCGTCCTCCATACTGGAGAGGTCCTCAACGATACTCTCTAGCATATCCATAGAGCAGCCCTCATATTTCCTAAGCAACCACATCATCACTTTTCCAACGATTAAACATCTCACTTCCACAGCTCATTGAAACCGTATTCCTCAACCTCTGCCGCAGATGAATTTCCACAGAATCTGCGGATCCATTGAGAGACGCAACGCATGGTAGATCTCCTACAGCCAGGAGTACTTCCACCACACTCGACGACTAACGCCTGAGAGCAACTGTGTCACAATGACTGTCTCTGGCGGCACGGTTGATGATGATGCTGCAAACAAATATCCATGCATTACTCTCGAAGCGACTGGATAGCGAGTTCCTCGGAGGAAGTCTCGGAGTACATACAGCGATTCCGCTGATCGCAGCCGATTCCCGTTCCTCTGCTGCTGCTCCCCGTCGAGTGAGCTCATATGCGTCACAAAAGCTGCAAGACTCCGTCGAGAACCCACAGAGCTCCAACCTGATGATGCATTCCCCAACCCTCCCAAATCTGGTTGACGAGATACTTGATCGCCACCCGTACGGCATTTTCGGGTCAATTCAGCCGTCTACCATAATTTCGAATATCTTCTTTGGAAAAAATGCCATTTTTCAACTTTTACCGACTGTTTTCGATGCATTACTCAAAGTTTCAATGATATAGCTGAGAATCCTAAAACCGTACCCATTTCTATTCACGGCTATTGTAACACTGGAGTACTTTTCGAGATATACATTGCGCCCACTGGTCGTGACGCTGTTTTACTCATACCGTGTCTCCGCGAATGCTGAGATGACCACCTTTTTTGTACCCAAGCATTTGCTCGCCAAACCAAACTCGACAAAAAAGTCAACTGAGACAGGGTCGCTCGTGTTCCTTCTACTTACAGACAGCTTGCCATTTCAATAGTATAGCCCAAAGGAAAGGTAAAATAATATAGTGTGATAACTCGCACAGTAGAAGGCGTCCAGTTTTTGAAATTCAGTACGTGTACGAGAACAAAGAATATATAACAACAATCAAAATCGACGTGATATCTTCTTGGCGTGACTCCGTCGACCGATGGACGGAGGCTTCGTTAGCACTGCTGCCTTCAGCTCATCAATTTCAATGGAACTGATCACAAAGATGGTGGACCATCGATTCTGCAAAAAGCCGTGATCACGCCGTACCTATTTAAATTTGTTTCGGGCTCCCACGAGGCCTCAGAAAGAGGGTATCCCTCCCATTTGACTAGGAATTTCCTACGTCCACGGTTATCCAGCTTCCACTTCAGCAACTTCTCCACAGCAAACCTGAAAAAAAAACAAAGTCCTATGAGGCATTTGCTCAATGAACCTTGCATGAGTGATGAAGACACTACGAGCTCAACTTACACTTCCTCTTCTTCCTCATCCGCTTCTGACGCTATTTCTTTCGCAGCATCCTCAGCAATGGAACAAGATGCATTTGAATTCTGTATCATATTTCTATCCCTCACGGATCTAGCTTCATCATTCGCCTTATTTTCCTTCCCACGACCAGTCGTGATCGATGGTTCCTAAAATCTCGTTTCCAAGGGCAGCCTCGATACTCCATCTGGCTTACCACCTTCGTTCCTGACTTGTCTCCTGTCCCTTCCTCAGCCACTGATATCTTCACTTCATCTGTTGCTTTCCTCTTCGTTGCCGGTCGTCGTCGCTCTTTTCGTTTCCTCTTCACAGCTGGAGTGCACTCAAGTACGCTTGTGCTGGAGAGTCTCCGTTTCCCATGCAGCTCCTCGAGAATACTGTCCTCGAGTTTTTCACCATCTTCCGGGATGACCAGCTTGGAAGCCTCGCCAGACGTCGTGTCTCTCGGCTTCTCAACCACAGTGCTGGATACAGCCGCTGCTTGTACTAATTGTTCATGGCCACACAATGTGTTCCCTACTGTCGCTTCCTCAACAGCACGACCACTCGAAGGGCCCGCTGTTGTGGATACAGACGCCCTGAGAAGAAATACGATTTCGAGGGCGATTCCGAGTGTTTCAGCTCACTCGTCTCGGCCGTCCTTCGTCCCATCAGCTGCATGCACACCAATGGAGAAACCCCCGACCTGGTAATCATCAGCTTCGACTCGCTCTATAACAGGTTCCTTCGGATGATCATCCGGTGTGACCGGGGTTATCGAAGATTCGCCGGGAAAAGCCGTAGCTCCGACAGGAAGTGTCGCACGCTCATCTTGAGAAGCCTCAGCCACGCCTGGGACTCTCGCATGTTCATCTTGCGTAGTATCAGCAACGACTAGACCTCTCGCACGCTCGTTCGGAGTAGTATCAGTCACCTCTGGGGCTTCAGCATGCTCGCCTTGAGCAGCTTCAGCTACGACTGGAACTCTCGCAGGGTCGTCTCGAACAGTATCAGCTACGACTGGAACTCCCGCATGGTCGTCTCGAACAGTATCAGCCGCGACTGGAACTCTCGCAGGGTCGTCTCGAACAGTATCAGCCGCGACTGGAACATCCGCACGCTGGTCTTGAGGAGCTTCAGCCCGGATCGAGGCTACGGTAGGGTCATTCGTAGGTGCATCAGTCACAACTATGGCCTCGAACACGTCACTTCCATCATCCTCGTCATCAGAGCCAACGACCTCGACATCTGAAGCTGACGTAAGTTCATAAAACTCCGTAGTGGAGTGTCATAGATCCTCATTGCAGCATATACGACGAAACACAATACGAACATGTGCACTTCTCGCACATAGAAGAATCTGTTCGTTCTATTTGCTTACCGATTTTCGGCACGACTTCGGCCGCCTCAACTGAGCTATTCCGCATGACGTCTGAGGAATTCGATGGTACTCGCTCAGGCGGAGGCGTCGGAAATGCTGAACAACATTTGAACGCCTAGCATATATCGTTGTGAAGCCATACCTTCCCTTCGTGCCGTCTCTCGCACGCCACGCGCTTGATCAAGTGCTCGCAACGTGCTCACCAAGTACTCTGTAGGCAAATTGGAACGCTGAAAATGCAGCAAAGAACGGCTTGTTGATACTCTACGACTTGGCACAGACTAGCTCATCAGCCGTCATTTTTATGAACAGCATATCCCCCATTGTCACCTGGAACATTGAGAGGGCGAGCTTGATCTCCCTATAGTGAGTCGCACATAGGCCGAAAGTGGCCATACTAGAGTTACCTCGCCGAGATCGAGCAGCATACATCGGTTGTGTGTTGCCTACAAGATAGAAATGACAAGTCGATTAACTAAGCTGGACGAGTCATTCACCTGCATGGAAGACAGCCTCAGGCACGGTGTCGTTCCATGCTAAATCGTTATTGAAGCAACCTTGGTGAGCACAGAGAGCACCAGCAATTCGAACCGTTGGAAGCCATCCCGACGACGTCGAGGACTGAGAGAAAGGCATTCAGGAACATCAAAAACCTTTTTCGAGATCTTACCTCTTGGCGTTCAGGTGGAGGAGGGGGCTGTACCGGTGTTGACCGACTGGGCTGCGACGCGGCCGGTGTGAATGCTGCCTTGACTCGCATCTCCGCGCGCAGCCGATCTATCAATGCTGCATTGACTGTCTGCTTCGCTGAGAGATGGGCCGGAGGTTGAGCGGGCCTGAAGACATAACGAAGAGCTCGATTCATGCCGTGGGATAATCTACGTTGTTGGTGGTGGTTTCACAGCAGCAGCAGCAGCAGACGCAGCGTTATTCCGCGATGATTTTTGAATCCACGCACTCAGAGCCGCTAGTGCTGCTGGTGTGACTGCAGGCATCGGACATCCTGTGCCTGAATGAAAGACCATTGAAGCGCGCTCTCGTCACGATAGTCTCAGATTCATGGCAAACCGGCAAAGAAACTGTTAGTGATAACCCAGACGAACTCACACACGACCATTAAATTTCGGTCGAAAGTGACTTCTCCATCTCTGAGGTGCGCTCATTCAACACAGTCCACTGAACCAGCGGAAACCAAAACCCATAGTTCCCCCGGAAAAGAATACTATCTAGCGGAGCACTCAAATTTGTCGAGACCTCACCAGAGCTGGGAGACGACGGAGGAGAACTCGTCGAGGGCACGCCCGTCGTAGCAGCTTGGGTCATAGAGTGGACGAGACCAGATGTATTTGTAGCATATATTTCAGGGTTCATGCCAATGGAACTGACGGACCACAGTAACCTTCTACCTAGGGGTGCCCAAGAACATCCTCTAAACGCAATAGCCCAACAGCTCGCTTCAGTGAAATCTGGCTTATGCCGCACGTTTTGAGTACGGAGACTCTGTGATGCACTGAGGGCTGCAGCAGCCTAGGGCTGATAGGAAGCACAGTTATCGAACGTCACTTTGTCGACCTCATCCCGTCTTAGCGCGACCCATTTCTCTCTGATATCTTCTAATTGCGAAGCAGTCAGCTCTGCTTCCTCTTGTTCTGGCTGGAATTCGGCGAGTTTACGTATCTGACAGTGCCAAATTACTGCCAAATTACAAATTACTGATTAGTGCCGAATCGGACAAAATAACGACCCATGGGGAAGAAGGAAGGATGTATAGAGGAGCCCTCTGTACATACTTCCTCCCCGAATGCGTCCCGGCTTACCAGAACTTTCAACCTCCGATCTGTCATACCCTCTGGATCGTACAATCGGTATCTGAATAATAACGTCGCTACATTCAAAGTATACAACGCTTCAACTCGCAGCTTTCGGATATGAATGTAATGTAATAATACACTATAGGATTAACCAGCCAAGTATACACTACCATTTGTATAATTGCTATTATTCTTTTATTTTAAATTTGAATTTTTTAATACCTATAATCACAGTTGTGTTTACAGCTTAACTTCAAACGAGTGAGGAAAAGTTCTCGCCTAACTTCTCCGTTTCGGAAAGGCTCTATGTCACAGTGTTCGTATGTAATACCCATCAAAGGGCTTCTCCCAGAAACTGGAAACAGTATGATTGGTTCAATCTGCAGGATCGAAGTTCTCGTCTTCCCAAACCCACGATCCGTAACTACTGCCCTATACTACGAGCCGTAGTCGACTAACTTGACGAATCTAGTAAACTGGGCCATTGCAATAGCCAAATGACGAACCTAGCGCTGTGTCGCCTGATCGACCCACTGCGTTGGCACAATGCTAGTACTGCTGTAGTTGAGCGCCTGAGGGTTGAGGTGTCTGACAGTGCAGAGCCGACTGCAATGCACGATGTCAGATCTCTCAACCTGCCCGATTGATCCAACTCATACGATCATACTGGCACTACTGTTTGCTGCACATAATTGTACTTACGAGTATACACCCGAGTGCGCGCACCATCACGTTGTGACGCACGTATGCGACGGTCACGCAAATGGCTGCCATTCGCGTGACGCACCATCTGATGGCACGCTATGTGATTGCGTCGTCGACGCAATCACACAGCGCATGATGTCCTCTACGCATGCACGAAGTAAGACCGTGACCAGCCATGCTAGATCATGACCAGATTTGGACCTCATACTCAGATCCTACTGAAACCGTCTGCTGCGTCTCTGTGACAGCGACCTCCACCATGCGAACATATGGTGAACCACCCTTCAGCGCTCCACCTTGAACCATCAATAAACGATGGGAAGCAAGGAACGAAATAGGGCGCTACCATCATCCCCGGTCAACCCGCGGTGCGTACGCCGCGCTCGAGTGAGGATTAGGCCTCAGCTGTGACCAACTTCCAAACCCGCGCCCTGTACGCCGTAGAGTGGGTGAGAGTCAGGCTCATGACCTGGACCGAGCTAGACCGGACTGCGCCCTTCGACCCAGCCAACCCGGCTTGTGTAGACGATAGAATGCGAGGTCATTTCACCGGTGAACGGCCTATCCAGGTCCCAGATGAGAAAGAGGAAATGGAACCTAGGGGCTGAACGGTTCCATTGTGCGGAGAGGCGTCGACCAAGAATCGATCGCGCTAAGAATCGATCACGCCAAGTGATGAGCGAGCGCCCTGAATGAGCATACCGGCTCAAGTCCAGTCGGAGGCATCTCATCGCGGTGGAGATCAAGTTGCACTCAGATCCCACCTGGCACTAATCCACAAGACCTTTTTGTGCATGATGACATCATATATGACGATCGATGTATTGCTCGCATAGTGTATACTGGTGTCGCTATCGCTCGTCAAGCTATCCGCCGCTTGGTCGATTGAGTTATGCTTGTGAGACTCCTCCAGTCAATCCTTTCAGAGGCTACGTTGTCATCTATGGATCCAATGCTAGCATACATGATTGTTGTCTTTCCGAGACGTTCTTACTAAACCCAGATACATAGCTACTGCCACTCATTACGAGTCGCCGTCTACAGCGACTCTAGTAAAGTTGATCGATCCCTAACCGAGCTTACCTGCGGAAGCAAATCTCCGCCAACGCGTCGGTATTCTCACTGGTGAATGTTTTGCCACTTAGATCATCCTCGTCATCGTCCAACTCGAGATCTATTCCCGTATTCTGAAATTCAGGACAATCATGAAGAGGATGGTGAGCTCCGAATCAGGGGATCAAACAACGTGACTGTGAGACCCATAAGTATACCTCGGTATATCTCCGAGCGCTCTCCGCCATCTCTTCTCGCGTCCTTGTACCCGTCATCCGCCTCCGCCGTTCCTCTTTCGGATCATCAGCGGCATCACTCGCAGAGGAGAATCGGATAACCCCCAACTGTGCATGTGACTGTTCTATCCTGGCGGCAATCACGACTGGCGCGAGCCTCCTAGAGACCCTCAAGACGGGGACGCTTAGTGGTTGCAATCGGCATAACATTTAGTCACGGAAAGCATCCAAAACTTAACATGTGAGTCCTCCAAACCACCAGCCACACAACACTAATCTGCAGGTACGTTGTTGGAAACTATTTTCCTCTCCGTGGCTTCGATTTTCCTCCAGACCCGCCCGACTTAGCGCCATACTTCTTGAGAATATCCTTGGACACAGCGAGCATCCCATCTTTCATTTTACCTGTACGAAATGCCGTTCAAGCATTCTCGCTCGCCCCAGCAGTACGTCAATCGCCTTACCTCCCTTGTAAGCGGTCCCTTTACCCCTTCCGCCCGTGAAGACCGCACCAACCGAATCCATCAGCTTAGCATCAGCTTCCTCACGTTTATGTCTGGCAGCTTTCTTTCGTGCCTACATACAAGAAGAACAAATATCATCAAAGTTGGCACATTTTGTTACAACCCGCCGAGCTCACTCACCCTATCAGCATCTCCTACAGTGGTATACTTCAGCGTCGAGACATTCACGCCCATATACTGTGCCTGCCAAGAATGTAGTCACCACAGGGAACTGTACCAGTCGCCATCACCTTCTCTTTGCTCGCATTGACCAGTCGTTGGCGATCTTCACGCATCTTTCGGAGGTGAGTGATATTATGGCCGGTCTCCTTCTCAACCTGCGACGGTAAATCATACGATATCATCCAACATGACCCCTTAACCATACCTTGCCGCCTAGAGCCGAAAATTTCGCATCCATATACTGTCGCTTAGATTTCTTGTCTTTGGTCTTCGGATAAACTAAATGAGACAACGAATTCCCTTGCAGACTCTACCTCAGACAATCCCAAGTGTTTAGCCATTCCACGTTGTGGTACCATCAACTACTAGCTGAATGCGATTGTCTCTCGCAGTAGAGCTGACCTTTCCCAGCCGATCATTACCATAGTTGAGCATATCTTGCAACGCCTTGTTGAAAACCTTATCCTCTTCGTCCTCTCTCTGGGACGTTGTAGTAGGCTTCTTCTTAGAAGGTGGGGGTGCTATATAGGATGCTCGCTTCGTATCTATTACCAATCACATTAACGACAACAACTCGAGTTTCCCAGCACGCCACTCGAGCGATGCCATAAGCCCCTACTACTCGTCATTTTCTCAACAGAGCTCGCCATGAAATCTCCACTTGTGAAATCCGGACGATTCGATGCAATGGCCTCCCTCTCTCGTGCCTGATCACAAGCATCGCATCTTGATCGGCTAATCAACCAAGGACTCTCCAAACACAATCAGCCAGCTGCCATAACTTAATGCTGTAATGCACAATCATCCCATTATTAACGCCAATACCAGTGCTGCAATATATGCTCGCTTCCCTCAGCTGAGCTCGAAAGTTTCCTCGCTAATTGCGAAGCGAGCGGAGCTCATGTTACTGCGCACAAACACTCGTGTGCGTGCGTGCGTGCGGGCGTGAGCAAAAATTCCGACCCGGCCAGGGTGATTCAGAAGACAAACAGGCTATCATTCTGTCCCCCGTTGCCTGCTCGTAAAAATATAGCGAAAGTGTCGCTGTTGCTTTGCGAACCTTATTTTTGACGAAACAGTTCTCCGCACAAGAAATGAACTGTTAGCTCAGTACGTCAGTAACAAAGCCGTCGACCGAATAACCCAAGGTCAAATCCCACGATAGTCATTTTTCTCACATGTCTTCATAAAGAGACAGTTTACACTGGAGACGTCTATCGACGGCTTCTGCTATTATAGAACATGGTCGGCCATGTCGACGACGCCAGCCAACCCCCGACAACTTTTTGTCCTTTAGTCACCCAATTTAGAGAATAATTTCAATAACAGCCCGCTGAATTCTTGATAAGAAGCTCAGTGAGCTCCGCTCCTCCGCACCGAAGACCTAGTTACACTGTTACGGAAGAATTTATACACGAACTAGGGTTGAAGTGAACAGAAACCCGTAAGAATTTCCAAAACTTCCCGCAGAATTTCCATATTTACCGATTTTTTTCTCAACTACCCAGTGCTGTTGCATCCCGGATTATGCCTGTCTCATCAGCCCCTTTTACATCGACATTCTCATCCACTCCATTATCAGCCGCGAAAGACCATTCCGTTTTCTTAGTCGGAGCCTTCGAGACCACCTTGTCCTTCTTCACTCGCTCCGCTATTGCATCCTTCTTGGCAAGGACCTGAATAGCCTCGTCTTTAGACAATGCACAAGCCAACGGCACACCAAACGGTACGTGGCAATGGATCGGATCAATTTCTACGACAAGCACGGAATTTGTTTGCTCCGGCTCCTAGCCAGATAACAACACTCGAAGTGCGTCCCTATCTTTGGCCGGCTCATTACTCGATGCACACCAATAGCAGTACTCAAGAATTGACAATACAAGGTTCCCCACCCACAGTACGCTCTTAGGTTGTATTCCGTCGTCAAAACAGGACATGAACGACTCCATTCTCTCTGCCAACCGGGCATTAGCCTCCTAGCAAAACAGGAACATGAACATGGACGGAGCTACATAATGAGCTCAAGTAAAGCACCACGATATGATCTCCAACGTTGACTACGCCTTATGCACTGTCTCTATGATGTTGCATATTCATTCGAACGGATTTCTTCTCTGCGAATTACCTGTTCCCAATCACTTTCCGACTCAGACACCAACTCGCTGGGTTCGGACGATGATGGTGGCGGTCGAGACATTGCTAGAAACCCTTGAAGACACGGTAAGCTCAAGTCATTATCTCTTGCGCGCGAATGTGATTGCCCGCCTTCTGTGGTTATATCGTAGCGACTGGGATTAATCAATGCGCTACCGAAGACAAACTAGTACTAGACCCACACGCAAGTTCGCTCTAGAAACTGGTCCTTGAAAACTTGTACACACAATAGACTCCCTCAGTGGCGACACTCTTTGCATCACTTAGAAGCTAGAACCTGTACTTGTCCTCCAACTGACAGAAAGGCATGCGAGTAGCGACAGGATCGTATCTAGTGGATCATAATCAGCTTGAGTTGATAATCATAATGATCTTACTCCTGAGCCAGGCTGGCAAGACGATGCATCTGTTGGTCCTCAGCCAGCTGCTGATAAAACACTGCTTGCTTCTCTAAGTATCTACCATCGACGTGGATACGCTGATCCCAGTAATTCGATCTTTGATCACTGCCGATCTTCGATCTTTCTCTATTACCTCTGACGGCTCATCAATATAAGGTGCTCCTTGTCAGCGAAGCGGACCTAATGAACGGTGTGTATCCAACGCTTGTAGTTGGAAGAAGACTAGGGTGGCTTGAGCTCACCTTGATGTTTCTCAAGATGTAGTCGGCACCGGCAACACCAACACCCAATGCCGTCCCGAATAGTGCAGAGTAGATAAACGTTCCTGATAGGATTATGAGAGCTGGCGGCAGAGAATAGTTTTTACCAGGCTTGAAATTGGCTCCAATACAGGAACCCATCTTGGCGAAGCGCTGCGCAGTCGTGGGTTTAGCAACAGCCTCTGCAGCGGACATATGTTCGATGGTATCCAAAAATGGGGTGTTCCACTGACTAGTGTTTTTTTGAGGTAGAAGCACTCAGCGGCAACAGTCAGTTCGGCTGTTGTAAAATATGCCTCGAAACTCGACTGAGTTTCCTACGGAATTGCGGCGAGTCAAGCTGGCGAGCATATTTCCCAGAGTTGCTAATCCCAATAAGCGCAATATAAAGAATTAGGACCATTCCCGAGCTCGGAATGCGTATACCCCTTGGTCAATTGCTCAGTGTAAACTACCCAGGTTCATCCCGAAGTTGGACTATCGTGTCTGGCAATGGATATAATCGATCATCATGGCGCGCGCTTATTTGCATTTGCACGCGTCACCTCTGATAACTCTCGCATAGTCTCGCACTACTCCGAGCTGAAGATTGTGATGCCACCGTCGAAAGGTATCTGGGAAAAACGCACTTGGCGGGTTCATCGCCGAGTGGTCGACTCCATACAACACTGACCAACCTACTTTGTAGAGCCAGATGCTCCGTGACTAGGGAATACGGCGGCCCATGATATGCGTGCAACATCACTACTCTTCTTACCAAAGGAATTTCGTTCAATCCTTTTTTGCCCATGGCATCAGCTTATCCTGTCAACCCTAGGCTACCGTTGGGCAATACAGGACGTCAGCGAGTTCGGAAGGAAATCTCCAAGGCCTTGCGTGCGAACCCGGAACTACGGTCTCTGTGCAAATCCGTGGCACCTGATGTAATAAGCACAGCGTTCATCGAGAGTTAGAGCATAGCAGTGTTGATCAAGGTGCTTGATGTAGGGTATTAGATCTTGGATTGTGTGAGTTGTCTTTTTTAAGTAGTGGGACATCAGCGCGATTTGCTCCTCGCCAAAGGAGTTTGACTGCGGCTTATTCGTTTGAATGCTGATGAGACTGTGATTATTCTTATCATTCGGGAATATGGTTGAGTTTTGGCTAGAATATAGTTGTCGTTTTCAGATAAAGAAAGCTACCAAGTCGCAGCTGCTAGAAATGTGTGTTATCACTGGTACTCTGGATCAGGCCATCCAAATTTCACAGGAAAACGCGGCTTCTCAAGCTCTTCATGGCGCCCACTTGCGCATCGCTAGCAATACCCGTGGTGCGAACTCGGCTGCTATGGCAGATGGCAACTCCTCTCAGACTGTTGCCTCTACTGGTTCTAGTGCTGCCGTCTCAACGAGTAGCTCTCTGGCAGACTCTGGCGGCTTTGGTCTTGACGCTCTGACTTATCCTTTTTGGCTTCAGAAGCAGTCAAGTAAGAGTCTCGTTGAAGCATTGGCTGACGATATTTTGAAGCCGCCGGAGAGTTTCTAATCCTCTAAGCTAGGAATGATGGATATCAGTGGCGAACTCCAGGGATTCGATTTCAGTCAGAACTTCGGTGATTATTGAGTTGTATTCTCTCTCACTCTACTCTGTGGCTGAGGAGTCTTATGCAGATATGAGCTCGATTTCTATCGTCTCTCCAAGTAGTAGATAGCTCCTCGTTGTTGTAACTGACAGCGTTGGTTGTCGCTCTATCGCTTTTGTCCTAGAGGTTGTAGTAGTTGTAATATTAGTAAACACACGAGTCGTGGTTCAGCCTCAACATTGTACGTCTCTGACTTCTTTGCACTTGTGTGTATTCTGCCATCCTTATATTCAGTTGATTGTCGTTATCACTGTATCATCATTATGTTATCTTTTTCCGTCGCCTCGACACATTCTCCGACCGTGGTGTTGTTAGTGCTAGCTCTTCTTACCATGGAAGTGTGCACGGAGGAATCGTGACCAATAACTTCTTCTTTTTCTTCTGCTTCTGTGCACTCTGCAGCACTCAGCATCCCTGTCGACTTACCAACACTTTCCCATCAGTATCGCTGCGCTCAGTGTTTTTCCTAAGGATTCGTCTTCCTAATGATAGGCTTTAGATTCAATGTCTGTGTTCACCCCACAGAGCATCGACTTGGCGCTTACCCGTGATTTGGATGCACTGTTCGCTCCGCCGACTTTTCCCGTTGAGAGCGAGAGAATAGAATACGATACGAGCTCTCTCGGTCGCTCACATGGGAGACCAAGCCGAAGACCACAAGTGAGTTTAGAGGCAGTCCAGAAACCAGTGCGCCTTGGCAATAGCGGTCGTCGTATGGTTCGATCGGCTATAGCAAAGGCTCTGGTCGCGAAGCCAGAGTTGAGGGACAAGTGTCGGAAAGTAGCCACGGTAAGCTGCTATTATCTTCGCTGATTCACTAGGGTTGCTGATGCGAGTTCAGGTTAAAAGTGCAACGGTCAAACAGCTGCTGAAAATTTGTGAAATTGCTGGTGTTAGGGATGTGGCTGAAGAGGCTCTCATAACAATGGACCCAACTATCGATGTAGCAGATCCGCAGTTGTGGGAGTCCTCCACTGAAGAAGAACTCGATAATAAGAAAACTCTCCCAGAGCGGGAGCCATCGTTAACGGTGAGAGTCAATTCTCATAGGATAATCGATTTGATGGTCCCCTTTCAGACTCCTCGGAACGGATTTTCCGATTCGTGGTTCGTGAGGAGTAGTTCTGGTGAAGGCTTGAGGAATCAAAGAACTAAAAGCATGCCAACGACGCGATCCTTGCCAGCGGCGATGTCCTCGGGAAACTCCACTTCTGCTGAGAGAACTTCATCAGTGACGGAGTTGAGTATATTCGACAATCCTGTCCTGCACTTCAAGCTGAAACCATTATTGGTCTCTTCAGTGGAGAGCTCCAGTAGCAGTTCTACGAAAGCCACATCTCCCTCTACCTCCTCGGGTTGGTTCTCTTCACCAGTGGCTCGTGACGTGTCGGAGCCGGAAGGATTCTATGGTCTCCAATTTGGTGACGATTCTGCACCAACTGCGTCTTCAGTCAGTGCTAGTTTAGTGCTCCATAACTATTAGAGCACAACATTGTCCATCTTTGTTGGTCGTTTGGAGAGAATGCGAAAAGATGGGAGTATATTTTTGGCTACCTTGTCAAACAGGGTATATTACGCATTTATTTCTTTCACTACACAAAAACATAAAAAATATGGCTGAAGACTTGAGTAGCGCAATGTCGACTACTCCTTTTTTTCAAGCCTTCGAGTGGAAATGTTCGTCCATCCGTCATCTACCCTAATCCTTGGACTCCCGGTCAACGGCGTAACGGGACATGGGCCAGCAAGTATTTCTGCCCTATTATCTAGTTTTGCCTTATTTTCTGGCTCATCGATGGAGTTCGTAGACTTGCTTATCAGATCATAAACTACGAACTACTGTGTATCATTGTTACCTTCACTCTTCACAGTTCTCGGCTTCACCAAAGAGAGTGAACAACGAGCCCGGAAATAGGGATTTTTGCTGTCCGTTTTAACAGCGATGGCAGTGTCTCGTTCATTGGTACTTATCGTCTTTTTTTGGTATCATCACCGTGGTGGTGTCACTAAGATCGTTACAGTTCCATGGCATCCTTTTCTCTATTTGGACCATATTAAGTGATTCTCAGAGATTATGCTTCGAGTTGGCGGGGCAGCGGCTGATGTGGCTTCAGTTTGA